TACTTTCATAGATGCCCCACTGAAGCTGCGCAGGATCGCCCATACGCCTCTGTGCTACCAAAGAATGGAGGTTCTGGTATTTTTTCCACTTCATGCAATCGAACTGCCATTGTTGGAACAGCCTACGACAAGATTCTTCATACTTTGGAAATCAACTCGGATGACGACACGCCAGAGTTTTGGACGTCCGTCAACCATGGCTCCGACTCCTATAGTGTGGATGACAGAGTCATGACCCGCTTACCTTCATCTAACACTGAGCATGGATTTGACAATACCGCACAATCGAAACAAGACCATGTCGATCATTTGGCGGCACACCAGAACATGATTTACAAATCCATTTTAGTTCTGTTGAATGCAACTGGAAATGCTTTTGAGTTTTCCCTAAAGGGTTTTGCACATTCGCGGTATTATTGGCCTCCCATTACCTTCCCATCTGATGAACCACATTTGTTCTATGATTGGTCTATCATTGAGGCAATGGGATACATCACCTCCGATGATGCAAATGGAAAATTGCTTCATCCGCCCCCACGCATGTTTCCAAGTTTCTCTACCTCTGGGAAATCCTTGTGCGATCGTGATTTTGTTTGGGAGTCCGACAAGCTGCCTCCCGGATCAATCTTGATTCCACTACAAGAAGCAGTGACCATTTACCACTCTCTTCATGGTTCAGGTACTCCATTGATATTGGAACCTAACCGTCTATACTGGATTCCAAGTCATGTGGTGTTGGGGGGGTCGAACGACCTAATTCCGGATGAATATTATGATTCCCAGAATCCTCTGCCACTGAAGCCTGTGTTGCGGCTATCGTTCTTCTCCACTTTGCATCCCGTGGATAGAAGTTTGACGACAGTTCCCAATTTTGATTTTAACATCAAAGAGTATTTTCCTTCCGAACACGCACAATATGTGCCTCACGATATACAGGGTGGGATGTTCAAGTCGGCAACAAAACACATTGGAAAACTGTTGAAGAGTGGTGACAGCAACAATATCACACGTGCCGGGGATTTGAAAAAGTATTGCGAGGATGTGATCAAGTTGTTGAGTCAGGACAAAGCTTCCAGTCAGGAAAAGGCGGAGGTCCAAGCGCCCATTCAGGAGGAGGTTCAAGCACCCAACCAGGACAGGGTCCAAGCGCCCAATCAGGAGGAGGTCCAAGTGCCCAGTCAGGAGGAGGTTCAAGCGGAGGTCCAAGCGCCCATTCAGGAGGAGGTTCAAATTAACTTGTTTGAGTATTTCCCCAAACAGTGGGGATGCACTAGCAAACAAAGCACCAGGATGTTTCAGGGTAGCTTTGATTCTTTCCTGTCTTTCTTGTCTGGCCAAGTCTGCGGCGGCAGGCACGTCGCCTTCGATAGATGTATCACCACCGTCACCGTCACCGTAATCACCATAATCAAAACTAGAAACATCGAAAGAGTCAATGTCTTCATTGGCCCGAACTTCTGATTGTGAAATGTCTTGTTGTAAACCGAGCGGTGGTAAGGGCATATCTGATGTCCATCCATAGTGCCTCTTTCCGGCATGCACTTGAACAAGTATTGATTGACCTTGTTGAGTATTCCAAAACGAATCAGTCAATCGGATTCTTACTTGTTTAACCCGATCAAGCATCTCCTGCAAAAACGGGAGATTGTTACTCGCTTTTGGATGCGATGTGTTGATCCACATGCTCGGTTCGAGGACAGGGGTACCAGGTAGCTTCTCGCTTGCTTGTTGCATTCTCAAGATGGCTTGTTTCAATTCAGGTGCAATGGAATCTTCCTGAAGCTTCATGTAGATTTTCCAGAACCTTGTTTGTGCATGTGTTTTGTTCGGTTTCAAGCCAGTCACAGCATAAACATGCCGACAACAGTGTCCCATTTGCTTGAAATGCTTACAGCTGCAAACACATAGAGTGCCACCCGTGTATTCCAACACAACCAGCACTCTTGTTCGAAGAATTGATGGATTCACCCACTGCATCCGTCTCCACACTCTTTGAGTATCGTTGATATCGTCCCGTGCGTAAGTTTGTTGTGATTCTACGTTTCGAGTGAGAAGAAACATACTAACAATCTTGGATCCATTTGGAATTTGAGGTAGAATTGATTTGATAGCGTCGATTGTTGTGGTTGATGTAGGGTCAACTTGTAAAATGTTGTATTTGTCTTTTGCGTGATATTGGTTCATCAGAATGTTGCTGCTTTGTTGTGTAAGCTCAGTAACCGCTTGTTCCCGCTGTTCCGAATTGGCTGGAACCGAATCCAAATCATAAGCGGATTTCATTCGCTTAGTCAAGTCCTTTCTATCTGTAATGCCCGAAATTCTGTCATGGGATTCCGCCAGGTCATGACATTTCCTTGGTCCATCCTGGCTGCGTTTCAATGAAGAATTCTCAATTTCCGACCACGTAGATGTACAAATCAATAGTGTCAAAATTTCTGAATAATAAGCAGAGGATAACTTCGGCAGCACAAATTGAAAAGACTTCAATAGATATTCCCGAAACTTGACAATGAGCTGATTGCCAATATGGCCTCTATGTCTTTCGGGATGCTTTTCCATGCTCTCAAGGTAGGCTTCCAACAAGGCAAAAGAAAATTTGACCTCGTCATCTGTTTCACAATCTCTGACTAGTGACCATAACCAACCAATGAGCATCTGAATCTCAACCCAGTTCTCCCCAACAAGATCACTAATAAGAGAGATGTATGCCTTGTGGTTGACGAAGTTCCGGTCAATCTTGTGCCAGGCACAAAGGCGATGTCTTGCATTTGGCATTATATGACCCATCCCAGTTACCGACTCGACGGCTTTGCATAGCTGCCCATCTTCGTCTGTAACAATCATCCGAATTTTTGGAAAAATTCTAGTTGGATGTAAAGCGGGGATTGCTGTGCCCAAAATCCAGGAGAACTGCCAGAATGATTGACTACAGAGCCACCCCCAAGTATGAGCAAAGACTTTATTGTTGGAATCTTTGCCAGCCAGAATGAAACACGGGCGCTCCTCAGAATTCAGGCCTTCAACCACATCTGCTGTAGTGACTTCCGGAAACATGCTAAAGCGATTAGACGATTTGTCGTCCGTCCAAAGCACCGCTAATAGAATGTAACCTGTCCCGGTGATAGTAAGACTATCTCGAATCTTTCTGCTGTGATTTATCGCACCATCACCAGTGTCATCACATAAAGCATCTGCATCCATTTCGGAGATGGCATGGGCTGTGGGGGTTTTCCTTGTTTGCTTGATGGTTATCAGGTTGAAGTTGACCTCACCAAAAAGTGAGATGTAAGATTTTGTCGGGTCGTTGTCAAGTGCAAGAAACATTCTGTCTGCTGGTGTTCGGATCTGTTCCTGGTCAATTGAGCAGCCACTTTTGGTTTCCAAGGATGTAATCATTGCAGACTGAGCTAGTGCTTTTTGTTGCTTTCTGAGATACTTCATTTGATCATGGCTGACTGTAATTCCAGTTCTCTTCCGAATGATATTCTGTGTGATAGCACATGTAGCATGCTGCTCCATGACATTCTGCCCAATTTGTCGCTCAATTTCTGGAAGGTTTTTGGTCAACGTAGAGATAATTTCTGGTGAACGATACATGTGACCACTGTGTTGAGAATTTCCTGATTGTTGACGGGGCAGGAACCATCGTTTATTGCATTCACTCCAATATACACTTGACATTTTGAATGGACAGCGAACATTAACATTCTTAATAGGCAGCTGGGTGGTAGGTACAAGCTGACCCTG